GTAGGGAAATTCAAATAGTGCCAGATAGGAGACAAAGGCAAAGAAGAAAGAGTGAAGCACACATCTATGCAGCTCATTAGACGTGTTTGTGTCATAATATTAATACTTTGCATCCCTGGCTGCACCTTGCTTACATCCTCATGGAGCTCTGGACAAGCATTCATTCCTATCGCTTCACCATGAATGAGTACAAATATATCCTCATCTGGCAGATGGATAAGACAAGAGGCTATGACTGAGTCTATCAGTCCTGGGATACAGATATGCCATTGCTTCCATAAACCCATCCTGGGTCCGATTTGGATGCTGGGATGGTGTCTCCATCACTGGTATCAACACACAACAATCCCTGTGCACAACGCAGGTCGCTACTCAATGACCCCCGGGAAGCCCAGGAGATGGGGAAAGACAAGGACGGACATATCTTGGGAGAGCAACTCTATTCCACAAAAATCTTCCTTCTGGCCTTTACTCCTTTCAACTGATCTCTGCCATTTCCTGCATTATTTGCCTCCGGTCAAGAAGTGAAGAATTTAGCCCATCGGAGTGCAATGGTAGGAGAAAGATGGTGCAGTACCTGATGGGTGCAGTACCACTGCTAGCTGGTGTGAAGAATTTGGTAAGAAAATAAGACCAGTTTAGTAATGAAAGCCTTTGCGGTCAGATCAGCCTCGAGTTTGGTCCTCAGGACAAAGCGGTGGCACCGTTTGGTGCCTTTCAATGTTTTAAGATTTGCATTGATGTACCCTAGTTACTGAAGCAGCACTAGTGCTGTAGCACACTCAACAGCTAGTTGACTTGGGGAAGCTCCCAGGGGAAAAGAGACCTTGCCTTCCATTCCCCCAACGCATGAAGCTAGGACCATCTCTCCGGGACACCAGGATCCCTTAAGACTGGTTGCAAGAGCATGCACCCCAGATGCAGGTTCCCTATTTATTTGGCACTGATCTCTAAAGCATCAGCATCCAAGCTCCTTGCCATCCCAGATGTCTCTTTGCTCACAACTTCAGTGAGGCAGGGGTTCTTCAGATCTAAGGGAATGGAGACATAACAATACCAAATGACTAGTCCAAGGCCACGCAAGATATGCAAACTCAGGAACTGAATCAGATCCTCCTGGACGTGCCACCGGCTTGGCCCTGCTTCCCACTCCCCTGACAATGGGGGCTTGGTGTGCTCAGCATCTCCAAGCCCTCCTTCGTTACAGGCACCAAAGGATGGAGCGTCCCCCAGAGCTCGTAGCTGAAGCCACGTTCCTCAATGTCACTGCAGCAATGACGTTTATTCAGACCAGAAAGTCTGGCCTCAGTTCTGAGCAGATGGCTTAAATCCTATTCATCTTTGGAGGCTGTAACTCAGCCTCTGAAGGGCAGAAGCCAAATGACACGGTACTGCAAAGCTGTCTAAGGGGAAAGAACCAGCTGGAGCAAAGGGGCAGCACATGGTCAGACTGGCTTCAAATGCACAGATTGGTTTCTCTCTTATTCCTCATATTCAGTGCCTCCATTCAGGGCACTAAGAAAAAGGCATTGCAAGATATATTGCTGTTATAACACTGTGCAAAGATTCCCCTTAGATGTACTCATGCCATAAGTGAGCACTGATCATTTTGGAGGTGATGTTTTAAATATTTGCCTGTTCAACTTTCTCTCTTCTGCGTTAACCCCTCAACGATTCGTTTGGTTATGCATGAGCGTTGCTCGCTCAGTCATTTCATGCTTCCCTTTTGGTGTCAGATAGCAAGGGGGAGATAAAGCTAACAGAGGCACCGACTGTTAAGCAAGTGACTGTAATTACAGGCGAAGTGCTCCACTGCACTCGCTTAATCCCAGATACGTGAATACAGGCGTCTACCTCTTAGGCTGGTAGGGATCTTCCAGGTAACAGGTGAGAAACCTTTAATTAACACTAGTCTTTAAAGAAATCTTGCCATCATTAACCACCCCTTGGAGACTCTTTCAGGCATGGCTGAATGAAGAATGAATTCACTGCTCTTTTCCTTGTCCTTCCTCACCATGTGTCCACTGGATAAGATCAACTATATGGGTACAAGTTTCAAAAGTACGGCTGCATTGAGCTGACCCTGCTCCTATTCAAGTCAAAGGGGAGGTTATCATTACTGCCAGTCAGAGCAGAATTAGGCTCATCCCACCTTGTGCCTTGTACATGGGTGCAAACTCGTGCGCTCATCCCTTACCAATGGCAAATATTTCTACACCCAAGTTTTTCAAGGTCTGGGCAGGCTGGTTGGCATCATCCTGGGACTTTCCATCAGTCAGGAGGATCACCAGCTTCACTGCCTCCAACCTAGCGCCAGCTTCTGGCTTCAGATTCTGCTCGAGGACGTGAGTCAAAGCGAGACCTGGGGAAGGGCAGGAAGGACAGGGTTAGATCCTAGGAGACAATGTTACAGAAGTGCCTGTAATTACGGAGGCTGGGCTGGTGTTACCTGTGAATGTGTTGCCGCCTTTATACCGCAGGCTCCTCACTGCCTCCAACACCTCGTCTTTGGTAGCATACGTGTTCAGGTTCCACTCTGTCCGCGGGTCACCGCTGTACTGCGACAAGCCTGGGAAAAATTCATATATACACATACACATATAAGGCACTCCTCCCCAGCCCATCAGCAAGGCAAGAGCTTAGTAGATAGAGCGCCGGATGGCACCTAAGCACACCGGGTTTTTGTCCCACTGACGTCGCTAGCTATCTACGTACATCTATTTGCCTTTATTTCCCTGCCTGTCAAATGCAGACATTGATACCGACTTCTCTGCAATGCTCCTTGATCTCAGAAACGTTTTCTCAAGATCTGGGAAGGGGGTCAAATGCTTAGTTGTGGTTTGAAAATTCAAGGCCAATCCTGCACCTGCCAGGAGGGGAAAGATTTTGCACTATCCTGCAACATCACCTCCTACGCTTCTCTTCCTGCATTTTCCCCACTGCCTGGATTTCACCTTCCCCCCCTAGAGTTGCCATGGCTCAGACTTCTTTATGTTGGCCTTTGTGATGGAGCATCTCAGTCTGGGGTGTGCAGTTGGGAGCAAAACTTCTCCAAAAGTCGCACCCTTGTGCTGTACGTGTTATCGCTTGCAGCCGCTAGAGGTCAGTCCTTTCCATCAGACCTAAGAGCTGTCAACACTGAAGTGCAAGCACCTAAAATGGATAGAGATAAAGAGCAGAAATGCAAGCCCTGAAGTCCCCCAGAGCAGCACAGGAACGAGAGTGCCAAGATCTAAATGGGATGCAATGCCTTCTTTGCCATAGATAATGTGCGGCTGTTTGAGTTTTGCCTCGCGCTGCTGCTTAGAAATGTGTTTGTTCAGCCCTGTGAACCTGCAGCAAAAGATCAGCCAAAGTTAATTTAGGGGCAGAGAGTTTAGGGGGAGGAGAGGGGAAAGGCGAGCAAGCCAAACTCCTCCAAGGGAACATTCCTGAGGGAGAGACTATGGTGGGTTTTACACCAAGGCTGCAGTCGAGGTAGGGGCCAGGCAGGTCTCTTACCTATTTGTATCTTGTCCTGGGCAACATCGAAAGGGGAAATCAAGGTGCTCAGAAACTCCCTGATGAGCCTGAAGTTGTTGCGCCCGATGCTCCAAGATCCATCCACAAGCAGGACAATGTCAGTCATGGCAGATGAGTCGCACTGGAAGTGAGGGCCTAGGAGAGACCATGCTTGATGTTGAGTACATCTATGAAGGGCAAATAGCCTCCTTTCAGCTTACAGACAAGATTAACGTCTGGGGTTCTCCAAAACTGATGCTCCCGGCACAACTGGAAGGAACCCGTCAGACAGAGGATGGGATGGACCCAAAATACACTCTCCTGACCTTAGCTCTAAGTCAATTAGTGACACTAAATACCTGTGCTGCTAACTCAGGCTGCGGTCTGGACACCCACAGCTTTTCAGTACAGCACATGGGGTCCTACCCCTCTTTTACCTGGATTTGGTCAGCAAAGAAACCAGTCTGATTGACCTCTACAACATGATGGATCACTTGAGCCTAGGGGACCTTTTGAGCTCAATGCCTTTTACACATTGCAAGTGTAATTCCCATTTCATGGATAGGAAAACTGAGGCACAATTTAAAAAAAAAAAAAAATCAACAAAACTTTCCCAGGGCAAAAGAACCATTTTTTCTTGAGAAATTGTCAACAGGAGAAAAGTCTACAGGCTTGTCTGAGCACAAGCTCACTTCAGCACACAGGAGCACAAGGATTAAGGGTTATGGTCCTGTGGTTAAAGGGTTAAGCCTTTTAGGAAATGTGCGCCTGATTTAGGCACTGCTCGGTGCGAGCTGTCAGCTCCATTACACCGCGGCTCTAAACCAGCGCTTCCTTTTCATCTTACCTGAAATTCCATAGGATTTAGTGCGAGTCGCTCCGTTCCCGCCAGAGATCCCCTATGGGCTATAATTATTTAGATGCTTTCTCTGTATTAAATCCAGGCTCTTTCTGCACTGCTGCCATTATACATATGCACCCCTCCCTCCCTGCCAAGCCTAGGCCTGCAGCTAAGGGGGGGATAAGATAAGGCATGCTGTTAATGAACTGTATATTTCCCCATCTTTTTTCCAGGTAAGAGCTTTACTTCTTGGGTGA